GAAAATCTGGATTATGAGAAGAATGTGGCATTAGGATTGGAGGAAGATTCATTAACAACCTGAGATATGCAGATGACAACCTTGCTTGTTGAAAGGGTAAAGGTGAGTTTGAATCACTGACCTTGCAGAACAAGCTGATCTTGTAGTACACACCAGGACTCAATCCATGACATGCATATTCCCTTTTGCCCATGCATATCACTTCTGATATCATAAATTTAAGATATACTCCACATTTATGTGCATGCTTAATCATTGCACAAAGAATCCCTGAGTGGTACAAATCATTAAGTACTTGACTGCTAACTGAAAGATTGGCAGCTTGAATCTTTCAGGCACCTCAGAAAAAAAGGCCTGCTAATCTTCCAAAAGATCACAAACACTGAAAAAAAATATGGAACTGTTCTACTATGAAATATGATGTGGTTGCCTTGAATGGGTATCAATTTGATGTCAACTGTTTTGTTTTGTTTTTCTAATTCATTACAATATTGTCCAGTATAGTAAAAGGTTATAAGAAAAAAACCTCAATTATCCATCAACTAGAGAGTATTTAAATGTTTAATGTTCATCCACACAATCATTTAGTCATAAATAGGAATAAAGACTTTCTTTATACACATATGAAAAGATCTACAAAATATATTAGTATTTGGAAGACCTGGAGTGGGAAACCTTAACTAAAAGGTTGGTGGTTTGAATCCACCCAAAGACAACTAGGAAGAAAGGGCTGGTAATCTTGCAAAAAGTAGACATTGAAACCCTATGGAGCACAATTCTTCTTTGAGATGGATGAGACCCCTATGGTTAAAACACTCAATGACAACTGCATAAAGTAGATTCCTGGGGTACAAGACTTCCAGTGATAACACTGAGAGAGTTAATTACCCTAGGTGTACCCCATTATATTTGAAAATAAGTGAAAATTAAAATGCAAATTCATATTCATTTGTATATGCAGGAAAAGCCTTCAAAAGGTACACCCAAGAAAGTAACAATAATGATTACCTAGGAAATGGGAAACTGGGTAGATGGAGAATGGATATTTAAGAGAGGTGTTTCATTGTATGTATATTTAATTTTTTTTTTTACTTATGGGGCTTTAATGTCAATACAAAAATTAAATAAGCAAACAAATAGAAACAAATGAATCAGAAATGAAAAGGCAAACTGCTTAGTGGAAGAAAAAATGTGACTCATTTCCTAAGTAAAGAAAAAGGTATCCTGGAAATTGATACAGTTGAGTGGCTTGAAAACTTTCTTGTAAAATATATATTTTTTATAACTTCTGCTAACTAGCTTTAGGAGAATGAATGCAGTGCCATGTACTGCCCTTTGAGTACAAATACTCTCCAGCTGCTTTGCCCTGGTCAAAGACAGAAAGTCTAAATTGCCTTTAAATTTTTGAATTGCTCAGACAGTCTCAACACTGTCTCATAAACCTACTGTCTGAAAGAAAATGGACTATACTCAAATCAAATCAGCCTGTGGGTGACTGTATATTCACCTTCAGTTGAAAACTATTCTCAGTCACAGATTTTATTCTTGGTATTCTTGGTATTATTCATCCTTATAGCAATGAGATGCTGTAAAATATTTTAAGACTTAGAAAAATTATCCATAAAACAGATTTATTTGCAAAATCATATTTTTCCACAATGAGTATTTTTCCACATACTCTTTCAGGGTAGTAGAAATAGAGGAGACAACAGAAACAAGAGGGGTAGGACTTTGGTCAACATAGGCATGAATGTGTGTGTGTGTATGTGTATGCATTTCTGCGATTTTTGCTTCCGATTTGGTTATTTAATGCAATAATTATAACTTAAAGAATTATTGATATGCTTAATGGGGACATGTAAGCATGAAGGAATACATTATTTTTGTTGCATGTCATAACTTGGTTTTGACTCCTAACAACCCTGCATAGGGTTTCCAAGGATAAGCTGGTAGTTTGAACTGCTGACCTTGTGGTTAGCAATCTAATGCTTATCCTACAGGACCACACCAGGATTCATTAAAAATACAGTCTCAGCTCCTAAGGTGTAGTGGAGCTCATACAAATGCAAAAAGAGCAATTGTCACATTTCTAGATATGACTAGGCATGACTTGGCTTAATTGTCTGGTATGGACTAAGAAAGTAATTATGGCAATGACATGGAATTAATCTCTAAAATGTATACAAAACTTCAACACAATAATAAAAAGACAAATAATCTCATTTTAAAATGAGGAGAGGACATGAATAGATATTTCACCAAAGAAGACATTCTGGTGGCCGGCAAACACATGAAGAAATGCTCATTATCATTAGCCATTCAAGAGTTACGAATCAAAACAACAATGAGATATCATCTTATTCCAGTATCAGTGATAAAGTTAAAAACAAGCAAACAAAAACAAAACAGAAAACAACAAATGCTGGCATGGTTGTGGAGAGAACTGAACCCTCATAGACTGCTGATAGAACTGTGATATGCTGCAATCATTGTGAAAAAATAGTATGGAACATCTTTCAGAAGTTGAAAATAGAAAGATTATATGATCCAGCAATCACAGCCCTAGGTATATACCCTGCAGAAATAAGAGTCATGTCATGAATAGATGCACACAGCCATGTTTTCATCACAGCATGATTCAGTGAAGCACAAAGATGGAAATAACCTTCATCAACGGATGAATAGGTGAACTATGGTACATACACTCTGCAATGTTAAAGAATAACAGTGAATCTTAGAAACACCTCATAACATGAATGAACCTGGAGGACATTATGCTGAGTAAAATTAACCAATTACAAATGGACAAATATTGTATGAAATCACTACTATTTAGTCAAGAGGTAGATCTTTGCTGGAGCAGCACAGTATAAACAGCCTCACACTGGGCCAAGCAGTGCGGCTCTGGGAGTGGGATCTGCACTGGGAGTGAATGAGGGAGGGTGCTGGCTTTATATTTGTTGTCCTGGGGAGTGTGGGGTGCAGGAAGAAATCCCACCCTTTCCATTGCCCTTGTAAATCAGAGCCTCAGGTAATGGTTGACTGTCTCTCCAAAGCTGCTTCAGGAGTTCGACATAGCCACTTTGTGTCTGGCCAGCAGTTGGTTCACGTGTCAGTCTCTTTTACTGTCCCTTCTCAGCCTGTCTTTCAAGCAAAAACTAAAATGAAGTCCATTCTAGTTATTGACGGTGTTGTGTAAAGAACTGGAAAAGGAATAGTTGCCAACGGTATGGTTTAAATGCTGAAGTCATATGGTTGACATGTAACTAATTAAAATTGACCTGTGTATCAACCAATGCAGGAACTTGATCTCCTTATGAGCATGGTGAAGTGTTTGTGCTCGATGATGGCAGATGATGATGGGGAAGTAAACCTTGACCTGGGTCACTATGAGTGGTTAATTGACATCCACCTCCCCAAGGACAATAATCTAGCCACTGGAAAGATAAACCAGCACATGACTAAGAAAGATGATAAAGAAGAATATTTGGGGGTAGAGAGAGTAGAAGCTCAGTGGAACTGTGTAAGATTCAGAAAACATGGTCTTTATGGAGGCTTTTGGTCAATTCAAATTCAAAATCAAAAGAGAGAAAAGTTTTGCAATATTGATGTCAGTCCAGTCCCTATGGAAGTGCAACAGGGTAACAGAAGACTAAACACAAACTCTTAAAGACCATGGCTTTCTCCAGATCCGAATATGGGCCGGTGTTCAAATCTACCCTACTATCAAGGAAACAGAGTCCTAGTGTGGGCTGTGGGCTAATGTGTCAGACTGCAAAGTCATTTGAACTGCAAGATCTGTGGTTCAAGCTCACCAGCTGCTCCTTGGAAACCCTATACAGGATCACTAGGGGACAGAATCAACTCAACGCCACTTAACAACAACAACAACATCAAGGGAACAGAAAATACCAATGTTCTACCATATTGAACCTGAACAAGTCATCTGTGTGCCTAATGATTTAGCTAAATCCCCTTGTCATCAGAAGACTAAAGGATTGTAGATCATTTTCTTCAAATACTTGATCACTGTATTGAGAAGCAGTAAAAGAATGTTGAAGGGGAAAGAGTTGGTTTATAGATTTGATCACTTAAGGTACAACTGCTCTATTGCCTTTATGGGCAAATACAAAAGTTCCCTGACTTGTATGCTTTTGCCATTAAAGATCTGTAGAATTCTGAACTGGCCATCTACCACAAATCAAGTACATAGATTCTACAGATTTGAAGCTGAACACCTTACAGGAAGATCCCATTTGGTAACAGGAAGCCTAGTAAAAGCTCTTCAGTGACCATGGGTCCAGGGGCATTTTGTGCTCTAGAAACAGAAGGAAAAATCAGTGCAATCAGCTGGGCTCAAAAAAAAAAAAAAAAGTAAAAAAGCTTTTCTTGGGTGTGTGTGTAGGAATGCAGCTGACAGCAGTTGAATATTCAAGAAATGGGCAGGGATGGCAGGATGACAGTTCTACAGTGTTTGACCCTGAGACAAGTCACTCCATGGTTATTGACATGCCAGGAAACAATCCTGAGCACATGTAGGAGAACCCTGTTTCAGACATGACACTCTTCTAAGATCCAAAATTCTTGGAGGAGAGGCACCACCACAATTTGAGGTAAGTCAAATGTTCTAAAAGTGTTCAGAAGAGCAAGGCTTGTTGGCCAAGATACAGAGGAGAGAGAATGGAAATTGTGGAGTTGGAAGATTATCCTTTTTTGTTGTTGTTGTCCCTGAGTTCCTGTCGAGATATTTCATGCCTTCCTTGCCCTACTACGACCTCCTCCTGGTCTCCATAGGAAGGATCTCACACTACCTCTGTGAAGGTTGCTGCCCCTCACCAAGGGATAACTACAGTGACAGAGGTGGAATCAGTTCCCCAGGCTGAAATCATTGAATTAAAATCCCATCAATAAATCATGGCTGAATCTGGTAACATTGAAAAAAAAACAAAAATCAAGAAAAGGTTGACAAGACTGACGATCGACCTCATTGCGTAAAGCGCATGGCTGGAATGGCGCTGGCACGGGCCTGGAAACAAATGTCCTGGTTCTTCTACCAGTACCTGCTCGTCACTGCGTTCTACATGTTGGAGCCCTGGGAGCGGACTGTGTTCAATTCGATGCTGGTTTCTGTAGTGGGGATGGCGCTGTATACAGGCTACGTCTTTATGCCGCAGCACATCATGGCCATATTGCACTACTTTGAAATCGTACCGTGATCACCATGTGACCAAGATCCA